TGGTGCAGTTCTTTCAAAAATTCAAGATGGTGAAGAAAAAGTTCTTGCCTACGCCAGTAAAATGATAAGCGACACCCAGAGAAATTATTGTACTACTTACAGGGAACTTTTGGCAGTATTAACCTTTGTGAAACATTTTAGTCATTATCTGATAGGTCAAAAGTTTAAAATAAGGAGTCATCATGCTTCCTTAAGATGGCTTACGAATTTTAAAAATCCAGAGGGGATGGTGGCCCGTTGGATATCGGTTTTAGAATCCTACAATTTTGTTATAAAACACAGAAAAGGCAGTCAACACACAAATGCTGATGCCTAATCTAGAAAACCATATCGACTTTGTAAAAGGGATGATTGTCCCGGGTGTGATAAAGATAAAAGTTGTGTAAAAGTTAACCCTTTAATGGCTGAAAATGACCAAGATTTAGACAATACAATTCCGTATGCGGACGATATAGAACATAATGAAACAATACCCCATACTGAGGACTCTGAGGTCTCTGATAATATAAATGAAAGTCTAGATTTTTCAAATTGGTTAAGAATATGGTCTAATGAAGAAATTAAATCATGGCAAGAAAATGATTCAAATTTAATTAAAATAATTCAATTAAAAACTCAGTCTGATGAAAAACCTAATCGTGAACAGGTGTCTGGTTCTTCATATGAAGTTAGGAAATTATGGAGTGACTGGGAATTACTAGACATAGTAAATGGAATATTGTATAAACAATATGAAAAATCTAGTAAAAATAGTCTGGTTTTAGTAGTCCCCAAAGAATTAAGAGTTAAAATCATGAGGGAACTTCATAACAATAGAATAGCTGGTCATTTGGGTAGAGACAAAACTTTAGAGTCCATTAGGCGAAGGTTCTATTGTCCTGGTATGTCTTCGGATATAGCCTCATGGGTGAAGGAGTGTTCTATTTGTGCCCGAGCAAAGCGAGGTCCTGGGTTAGGTCGTAATCCTCTTCAACAATCTCAAGTTGGATTTCCTCTTGATAAAATAGGCATCGATATTGTTGGTCCTTGTCCTATAACAAAAAATGGAAATGAATATATAATAGTTGTTTCTGATTATTTTACTAAATGGTGTGAAGCATATGCCGTACCTAACCATCACGCACTTACGGTTGCAGATAAACTAGTCCTTGAATTTTTCACTAGGTTTGGGATGCCTAAACAAATACATTCTGATCAGGGGAGATATTTTGAATCTCTATTATTTCAAGCTGTTTGTCAACTTTCAGGTATTGAGAAAACCATAACAACCCCCTATACACCCCAAAGTGATGGTTTAGTTGAGAGATTTAATAATACACTACAAATCATGTTATCCTCCTTCGTTAATAAAAACAGAATGATTGGGATGACCATTTACCCTATCTTCTCATGGCGTATAGAGCAAGTGAGCATGATAGCACAGGGGTTACCCCTTATAAAATGATATTTGCACGGGAAATGACCAACCCTTTAGATATTTTAGCTGGAAAATTTATGTCCTATTGAGTATGTTAGTTGGCTCGAACATAGTTTTGAAATAACTTTTAATTTTGCAAAAGATAATTTGTCAAAAGCTACCATTAGACAGAAAAATACTTATGATAGGGGCATTAAACCTAGAAACTATGAAATAGGAGATTTTGTGTGGAGATGGTATCCTCCTACTGCTCACATTAAATTGGGTTTAGGATGGATCGGGCCGTATAAAGTCCTTCATAACTATTCTGAAGTTACTTATAAAATAAAAGAGAGCCCAAACAGTAGGGAAATAATAGTTCACGTAGATCACCTATAACCTTATCTAGGGACAGTTCCTTTAGCTTGGTCATCAATAAGGGAATCAGAATCGGAATCGGAAGGGGAAGAAAATTATATTACCCCAGAACCTAGCTTTGATGACTTAGAACAAGATGAAGGTCCCGTAGATAATCCCGTAGATAATACTATTTTTAAAACCCCAATACCTCCTAGACAATCCAGGTGTGGTCGAGCCATTAAGAAGCCATTGCGGTACTCCCCAGATGTAATATAGTGTAAATAGTTATTTTTTTAATCATAATACACAGTATATTTTATTATGATGAAATTTGGTTCCTTTACAATTGAATGGAGATAATAAGAATGTAAGTTCTTGTCCATGTTTCCGGTATGTATTTCATTAATTTTTATCATGTTTATCTTAATAATAATTTATTAAGGAAAGAGAACAAATATTTATGATTTAATGCACATACTGAGTCACTATGTTTACAATATATATATATAAGTTACAATTATACATGTATGTGTCATGAATTAATATTCGTCAGCAGCTGTATTTGCATTGTAAGAATTGAGAGTTTAAAAAATATCTACATATACACTTCTTTAGCCTAGAAAAAAGACTATCATTATTTTAAAATATTGATTGAGGAATATATGAATTTGATGTTCATTTGACCCATATAAAAGGGCTGTTCTACATTTATAACAGAACTCAAAATAAAAGTCGAGACAAGTCTTTAAACTGATTAAACAGTTATTTCTTAACATATGTAATTGCTTGTTGCGAGAAATATGCGAATTGTTCATATAGAAAACACAAATTATCATTTTTATTTTTATGTAATTAAAATGTATACTTACTGTAACTTGGTGACTTAAGTTGCTGTTATTTTACAGTTGGAATCTCTACAGGTGCTCAATACCGAAAGGGTTCATCCCATCTTCTATGAAGACTACATTTGCCCCGTGATAAGTTGTGATAGTAGGATATTTACAAAGTTCCACCAATATATGAGACATTGGCGAAAATTCCATACACGTACGTCATCTGTTTTGCCATGTTCAGGCTGTGTTCACTTCAACAAGACAAGAATGGAACTACGGGAGCATCTATGCAACAATCATAATTATACCTCTCTCACTGCAAAAAGAATTGCTGATGGTACGACAAGAAGAACCCTTGAAAATCATAAATATAGGTCACCTGGACCGAATATACCACCAATTAGAGAAGAAATTATTATTACAGAAGAAACAGTAGGCATCGTAGAAGTTGGCGATAACATTCCAAGAGACATGGACACAGAAATGGTAGAGCAGGATGGAAAACTTGTGTTGATTGTTAAGAAGAACCAAAATTTAAGTAGATGAACAGTTAATTGTGACATTTGTTTAATTTGATATATTTTATATTTATGTTAAATATTGTTAATTTGTTTAATTCATTCCTTGATTTCTTAATATATGTATTTGGTATAAACCAATAAATATATTATATTGGTTTAGGTGGGGGGGGAATGTAGGGGAGACGCATATTTTTATAATTATTCTGACGTATTTGCCGGGAATTTCAAACCAAATATTTATCAAAATAGACCCGAGTTCACTTACTCTGTGTCCTGACAATTTCCCATTTCACATTTATGAAAATTATTTTACCCGGACATTGATTGTTCCTTTGTTATACTCTTAAAAAAATTATTTAGCCTTAATTTGCTGTATTTTCATGTAATTATTTAGAAATTCTTCTCGTGTGTAAAGGGCTGCTATTTAGAGAGGTTCCGAGTGTCGTATCTCGGAATTTTACATAGGCTTTGCTTGATTCTACTTTTAGGAGTACGCCATTTTACTTTTTAATAACAAATAAGTAAAGGTAAATTTAATTGGTGTTGATTTCTAAACTTAAATCCTATTGGATACTATTTTGTTACTAAATTTAGGTGCTCTGGCAATATATATACAAATGTTTTGCCCATTATCATTGCTCAATCATTAAGAGAGCCACAGTCTACTAAAGAGACTTACAAGGTAGGTGCATTTTAATTAATGTAACCCATACTGTTTTTAAACAGTCTACTGCTCTAGATGTAAGGGAGATAATTTGAACCATTTAATTAATTTTTACCTTTTTGGCTTCGCCACACCTCGGAATAAAAACTTGTTCATTTAAAATGTAGGATTTATTATTAAGATAGAAATAGGATTAAAATTTACAATTAAATAAGGGTTAAGTGTAAGATTTTGCAAAATATAACAATGGGGAATTTATTTAAGGAAATGATTTATTGTTGAATATTGTATGTTTGTCTTGTGTAAATATACTTGCATAAATATATATATGTTTTAGTGTGAATTAAAATATGAAAACTTTATCGTCTCACTGATTTAAGAAACAGAGACTCAGGTCCTAGAACCCGGAAGTAGTTGTTGTATGTGGTCTTGGTATCTTTCATAGTTTAATAACTTGGTTTGACTTCGAATCTGAACTATTCTATTAGTATATTGTCTTTATTTTAAATATATTGGCATTGCTTAGGCATCGTCGTTCAAAGAATCAGTCGACATAAACAAATATCAAATATAGAAATCTAGTTCATATATTGAAACACAGATTGAAACCAGCAACTATGACTGCCTCCGGTTACAATATGATGAAGACATAATTTTTCAAATCAGTTTAATTGAGGTCTGGAGCTGGCATGTCAGTAACTGCTAGTAGTCCTTTGTTAATTTTTGTAATGTATCATTGTCATTTTGCTTAGTTTCTTTTGTTACCTATTCTGACATCGGACTCGGACTTCTTTTAAACAGAGTTTTACTTTGCGTATTGCTGTGTGTGTTTTTTTTTCTACATTTGCTAGAGGTATGGGGGGAGGGGGTGATCTCACAAAACATGGTTAACCTTGCCGCACTTTTGCGCCTGTCCCAAGTCAGGAGCCTCTGGGCTTTGTTAGGTTTGTATGATTTTTAATTTTAGTTCATTTATATGTTTTGGAGTTAAGTATGACATCCATTATCACTGAACTAGAACACATTTTTGTTAAGAGACCACCTGAAGCACGCCTCCGGTTGCGGGATTTTCTCGCTGTGTTGAAGACCCATTAGTGGCCTTCGGCTGTTTTCTGCTCTTTTGTCGTGTTGTTGTCTCTTTGACACATTCCCCATTTCCATTCTCAATTTTATTTTAAAATGTTTTGATTTGTCAATAGAAAAATAGATAGTGCTTCTATTCTCACCTTTTTGTCATGTTTCGTCATAATCCAGCACTGAAAATCAAGGTATCAAGTCCACAAACATTAAAACATAGTCCAATGTGTTATTACCTTACCTGTGAACGTTACTAGAGTTACAAAGTATTAAGTGATGAATGGAATTCATGCATGGCTGCAGATAAAAACTAAACAAATGTTTAAACCACCTCTTCATTGAACTTTATAGCATGTGTGGAAGAATCAGGAAGTAAAAAGTAATATCATTATATGAATTTAAAAAAATCCTAACTGCTTTTTAGTAAAAGACTACATGACAGTGATTTCAGTCTAAATTTATGCATGCTAAAAACACTGATTATATTGTCAATGAGTATCATTTGCAGTCATTTGCAGTCACTATGACTTGACTACACGTGTTGCTATCCACCTTTTGCAGTTCAATCAAAATTCTGACCAAATTGTAATTTGTTTTATTAAACTAAACTGGTCAACTGGTAAGCATCTTTCACCAACTGCTGTAGAAAACCGGTCAATTCACCAAAGTGCAAGATATTAAAAAAAAAATACATACAATCATATTAGCATGTTTTATTTCATCACCTTACAACACTTACAGTTAACTCACAGTAAATATATCAAAAGCTGATTTCAGTTTTACCATGATTCGAATATAACCAAAATGAAATGGTGGAACACCATTATTATAGCTCGTAATTACCGATGTAGTAAGAGTTTTTCAGTTGATTTTAAGGAACTTCGATTTTATACATTGTCCAAACCATTATCCTCCTTTTTCGTGATTTCTATTTGGGTTTTTATGTCTAAACAGTTTGTAGGATAGCTTTGACAAATATATTTCTATTTTTATTAACATTGTCAGTATGGGATATATAATTTCGAAACAGCAATCCATCGACACAAAAAAGACATTTATTTCATGTCAACGATAGATAAAAGTAAATTAAATGTGCCAAGCTCTAAATCGCTTGTCCTTTCCCGAGCTTAAAAGTGTTGTGAATGAATTAAAACGAGACTAACACAGATCGGTCATCTACACTACTCTTAATGACAAAAACGTTATGATAAAAAAAAACTACCGACGAGGTTCCTGACTTTGGGCATGGATATCTGACAGGGTTAAACTTATTTACTACATTGGTTGCAATGAAATACCGTGATTTCTCAGTAAAACACTATCCGATTATTTCACATGTGATATTAATCCGATAATTTCAATCATCTGACGTCATACAACGCTGGTTTTTGTTAGGATATTTGCAATGTCGCTACATTAAAACGAATTGGGAATGCACAGAAAAGATATATTTCCTTGTATATTCTACTTAATTCTTATTAAAAATAATTCATGGTCAATGTGATAAAAAGAATACCTAATCCAAAATTCAAATATTCAAAAATATTCAACTCGTGACCAAACAACACTGATAATGTACTCATGCGCTACGTGAATTAATGTGTTTTGTTCAATCCAATCGTTGAATATTTTTTCTATATTCGAATTCTGGGATTATTTGTTCTATAACTATTATGTCCGAACCCTCTGCTATATCAGTGGAATCACATAGGTTACATTAAAGAATGTACAATACAAGTCAGTACAAAACATCCTATAAATGTAATAATAAAAGTACAAGAGATTACAATAATGTTTAGTACAGGCAAAGTAACGTTAAGCAATAATGATCAAATAATAAATGCAGTTACGGAAAGCAAGCACAAAATCCTTAACCTTCTTATAAGAAATTATGAGGACTTAAGCAATAATACCGTCACGGGTTAACTAAAGATACATTAATGTCAAACTAAGTAGAGGACGACCAAACTTATGAAATACCCGGATGGATTCGGACAGAATTTTAATGGAGGAAAATTAAATTGAATATCTAGTTTTGTTTCAAGCTTTCAATCATTGAATTGGTTTTTATTCCAAAAATACTACATGCAATAAATTGACAACAGTATAAAACTAACATTTATCAACAAAACTATGAGTGTTTGTTGTAAAAACAAAAGGGCGGACGATACCAAAATGACACAACAAATCGTAAGTGGGAGAAACACCGACTACAACACCACAAAAAAAAAGATAAAATGACGAAAAGAAAAAAGACAGTTTACAAAACACTACACAAAAAATACTAAAGGCTCAGCATCAAGAAACCCACACAATAATAGGGTTGATATCAGGTGTTTCTAAAGGTTTAACAGATTCACTCCACATGTGGCGCCCGTTGTGTTATTCGTGGAAAATACAAATTTGAAGGGGCTGTCACAATCGAGGCAAAGAGGACGGGATTGTGCCTTCTGTGACAAAGATTTTCAATAACAGTCAATCAAAGTATGATGGTGTCCGTAAAACTGTGGAAGCGATATATGGCACAAGAGACCATTTGTTCAATAAATTACATGTAAAGAGCAACCATATATCAAATAGGAATCATTATAGGAAACGCATGCTCTTGTATATCGTGTAAACTGGGGAATATATACTCTTTGTGCTGGCATTGTTGGATTGTTGCTACAAAGAAATTGAAATTTCACAATAGGAAAGTTGCAATAATCTCTTTTAAAAGATTTTGTTTGCAACCGACCCTAATTGTCGATTTCTAGATGTAAGTCAAGATATGAGACATATTCAACTGTATCAGATGTATGCTATATTTCAGATTCAGTGGGATATATGTGTTCAACATGGTCACCAATATTTGAATTACTTATGAGGAAGACAACATGTATATAGCAGGACGTTCATTCAAATGACTATGCTATTCTCTTTTCATTCATTTCTCGGAAAATCCTGTATGAGGTCTGTTTCATATTGATAAAGCAGCAAGTCAGCAGTTGGAATTCGGATAGGAATATCGATTGTCTGATGAAAAACACGTACTCTAAATAAATATGTTCTCAATAAAAAAGAAAAATCAAGCATTTTGATATTTCATTTCATGAAAACTAGTGCAGATGTTAGAGAAGTAAAATGTGTTTATCCTATGATGAAATGTTAACAAATACTCTAGTACTCGAGTATCGCCCAGGTGTGCCAACTATCGAAAACCCAAAATGATATTCAAGTAATCGGTTTCCTAAGTGAACTTAACACATGTGGCCCTATGATCATTTAAAGTAAAGGGCAACACATAAGAACAGCTTTCCTATGCTTGTAGCTACTAATAATCGTATCTTAGTTTTTCCCGTCACAAGACTGTAAGGTACACAGTCTCGAATCCGGCCCCCCCTGGAATAGTTGACAATATGAAATTTCTTTATTTCAGAATAAAACTGTTGTTTTATCTCGTCTGACTTTGTAATCATTGATATTATTATTTACTAAATTAGTTCATGTAGTAAATGTGCTATTTATTATGATATATAATCTATATATATATATATATATATAACTATTTAGTCTACGATAATGATGCAGGGGAGTTAACGTCTATTAGAAAGTTTGGGACCAATCATCCAAATGTGTTATAATAACAAAATCTTCCGTTTTTTATTATTTTTATTTTAGCGAAGACATTTGAAATGTAGATTAGGATTAATTCAGATCAAAGTGATGTCCTTGCAAACAAAAGTTACCTTAACTTTGGCATTATATCGTACCTTTATTGAAATTTAATAAAAGTAATAATTAAAAGAATACAATGTAGAACAGTTTTTAACAGAACGATTTTCATTTTGGAAAATATTTTCTAAATTTAGTCAAATATTTTAGTCTTATTTTCATTCAGAGATAGGCCCTTGAAATATCAAGCATACGTTCAATACACCCTGAGATGAATTGTTTCTAATAAATAAAGAACATGTGTTATAATGCCAAGACGACATCTTTCAAAGAAAGATAGATAACAGCATGAACGAAAGAAATGGATAAAAGAAAACAACAGTTTATGACACACTTTACAGAAAACTAAATTTGACCAACACGAACCCAATCAAGAATCGCAGTGAACCCATGTGCATTCCTGTTCCACTGGTTAAACTTTCGGAAAGATAACATTACTTTTTATAACTCTTGGTTCAGCATCTTCTTTTTACACAGAAACCCTTTTTCATGGAAATTATGATACAAAACTAAATTTCTGCAATATCATATCAATAGGGAGATATATTATCCATATACAGGTACTGTCGGAATGTGGCCACATAAAAATGGAAAGTCTGAAATGGGTAAATTGAAGTCATGTTTCAAAATCTTAAACCGACTCTTTTAGAATTCCAAAGTTATATTTCAAATGTATGGATCAAGACTTGTTATATTTCGGCCCCTTGGCTAATATATGTTTATTTAGAAGTATAAGTGACCATATTAAGGTCAACAAACTAGGTCTTTCCGATAAAAAATTAATCTGGAAAAAAGTTAAATCACAAAAATACTGAACTCCGAGGAAAATTCAAATATGAAAGTCCCTAATCAAATGGCAAAATCAAAAGCTCAAACACATCGAACGAATGGATAACAACTGTCATATTCCTGACTTGGTACAGGCATTTTCTTATGTAGAAAATGGTGGATTGAACCTGGTTTTATAGCTAGCTAAACCTCTCACTTGTATGACAGTCGCATCAAATTCCATTATATTGACAACGATGCGTGAACAAAACAAACAGACACAATAGGTAAAAATGTCAAAAATAGGGGTACAGCAGTCAATATTGTGTTATCATCTTAATCACTATAAAAACAAAAAAACATATCGAAGAAGCACAAAAAAGCATACATCAAATTTATTGATTTATTGAAACCAAAGATAGATATAAGAATTGGAGACCATTAACTGTACTTAATTGTGACTATAAAATAATAGCTAAAATCTTATCATTCAGATTAAAAGATTTATTACCCAAATTAATACATCCAGACCAAAAAGGTTTCGTAAAGGGTAGAAATATCAGTGAAGCAAACAGATTAATCCAAGATATAATACCCTTCATTGATGTAGAAGACGAAGAGGGGGTTTTGGTTTTTTAGATCAGCAAAAATCTTTCGATCGAATAGAATGGGGATGGGTCCTAGCTTGTTTGCAAAAATTCAATTTTGGACCGAAATTTTGTATGTGGATAAACATGTTATTAAAAGATTCAAAAACATGCATTAAAACAAATGGATTTGTTTCTAAATATGTTCCAATTTCACGATCAGCACGGCAAGGCTGTCCAATAGCACCTCTGATTTATGTTATTCAAGCTGAGCCAATGGCTTGCGCAATAAGGGCTAATAAAGACATTGAAGGCATTTAGTTACCTGCTAATACATATACTCATGAAACAAAATCAGTCTTTTTGCAGATGACACTCAATTATTGAATAAAAACGAAAAATCAGTTGAGAAGTCATTTGAAATTTTAACAATATACGAATTTGCTTCTGGGGCTAGAATTAACTACGATAAAACAAAAGGTCTGTTAATGGGGAGGTTAAAAGGAAAAAAACCTAGGTTTACTAAAATTAAATGGGTGAAAAACAATGTTAAAACTTTAGGGGTCCATCATGGATATGAAATAGACGATAATATGATTTGGAGTGATAAAATCAATAAAATAAAAAGTTGTCTGGAGGTCTGGAAAACCAGAAATCTGTCCTTCACCGGCAAAACTCTCATTGTAAAAAGTATGATCTTGTCCTTAATAGGGTTTGAAATTGACAGTCGTGGGATTCCAAACCAATATTTAAACGAAATAAACAAACTCATTTGGGGGTTTATTTGGAATGATAAGGTTAACCAAATAGATAGGAATGTTTGTTGCTTAGACACTAAAAGGGGGGGGGGGGGGGGGGGGGGGGGGTATGATTAACATTTTTTCTTTTGTAAAAAGTAGACAAATAAAATGTTTTTACAAGATCATTCACTCAGATGAAGAAACTTGGAATATTTTGGGTAAAAACTGGTTAAAAAAATTTGATGTAACAATTGAAGAAGAGTATTTATTATGTAGATGCACAGATCTATCTAATTTTAGTCTATCATCAATTCCACCGTTCTATATTAATACCATTAACTCTTTATCAGAACTAAGAAATATATATAAACCTTATACGAAGGAAGAAATACTGAAAACTCGACTTTTTTGTAACTATGATATTAAATTTAAAAGAAAATCTCTATATTTTAAATCGTTCATCAAGAGTAAAATAACAACTATAAGTAACAAATGGAATCTTGAAACGAATACTTTCCAAAACTGTAATTCTATATATAATCGACTTATTGATTAAAGAAATTGCATAGCCGAATATTCAAAAATTAAAAATGCTATACCTAAAATGTACATAGATATACTAAGGGGTATAAACATTTTACCGAGCCAGCAGGTCAATTTGTTAATTAAATTAGACAACTTAGATCTGTACACAATTTCAGGTATTAAAATAACTCCCAAAAATTTAAAACCGAAAGATATTCAACACGTACTTAATCAAAATACCTTACCTAAGGCACAATTAAAATGGGAAACTGAGTTTGCTGTAAGTATCGACTGGAAATCAGTTTGGGGTAATTTAAGAAATCTCTGTATAAAAAGTAAAATTAGTGAATTCCATTGGAAGTCCATTCATAACATTATTTACACCGAATCTAGACTACATCGATTTCAGCATTCTTTGGTTCAAGGTAACTGCCATTTTTGCAAAAATCACATTGAAACACAAAATCATCTTTTCTATAATTGTAAAAAGATCTACCTATTAATATTAGAATTAAAAACTATATTCTCAAAAGTTCACTTGACACATGAATTAGTTTTACAAGAGATAAATATGATCCTAGGTATTTATGACAGGCCTATAAAGGAAATTATATTTGGCAATATTCTAATATGCATAGCCAAATGGACAATATGGAAACTTCGAAATCTAATAAAGTTTGAAAACATCACTTGCAATAATAATAGAATTATTAGACAATTTTATTGTGAACTAAAAGAAAATATCGTTTTACGTTTAAATCATTTACAAATTAAAGAACCAGATATCAATAATGATCTGGTACACTTATTAGATCAGATATGTAATAATTAGGTCAAGTGTGTACTTTTACTTTTTTAAGATAACGTATCGATACATTCCATTAGAAAAAAAGGTGATTTTGTTTACCTTCTTATTACATTTCCATTGTTTATAAAAAAAAAAATAGAGCAATGTATATAACCTGATTAAAAACTTACCTTGTTGTAGACAGGTATCACTGTTTATAGATCTGGTGTGATCAATTTAATGCATTATGTTGGGTGTGTTTGACTTGGTTTTAATTTGATATAAGAAAACTACAATATGTAATTTCATCAGTAAAGTGGACATTCATCTCGCCTGTTTTCTCTGGACAGGAGTGAGAATGTAACACAGGGACCCTAAGTATGTTCTCCTGGGCTACTAAGGTAATTGTAACAGGATATTGGAAATAAATTGTATTTGAATTTAAAAAAAAAATAAATAAAAAAAGATAGATATAAGAAGATGTGGTATGAGTGCCAATGAGACAACTCTCCATCCAAGTAAAAAATTATAAAAGTAAACCATTATAGGTCAAAGTACGGTTTTTATCACGGAGCCTTGGCTCACACCGAACAACAAGCTATAAAGGGCCCCAAAAATTACTAGTGTAAAACCATTCAAACGGGAAAACCAACGATCTAATCTATATAAAAACGAGAAACGAGAAACACTTATGAACCACATCAACAAACGACAACTACTGAACATCAGATTCCATTCATTCATTCATGCGTGTCTTTATTTCCTCATAATTAAGATATAATGAATTTATAACATTAATTACATATCACACAATAAAAGGAATAAACGAAATGAAAAAAGGAAAAAAAAGAGCTTTATACATATACAGACAAATAAATAGTTAAGTCACTCGGCATAAAGTCCCTATGCAATCGTTAATGATGACATATCATGGTATGATATCATTTTTGAATGGTTACTTTGGAACTGAGTTACAAACTCCTCTGATCCAGGACGGTGCTATGTCTTTTGGATAGCCTGCAATAACCCGTCGTTTTCTTGGATCCATTTTAATATACCTGAAAATGTATTTGGCTTGATTTAATTAATGATAGATGTGACATAATTTATATTTCAATATCATTTTAAGTTGTCACATCCGTTGCTCATCGTCTTCCTATTGAACAAATGATTATAGCAGGGATGTTATTTGCAAGCAATAGCTGTTCAACCTGTTCAATTCAATATTTAAGAACGAGAATACAATGGAGGCGATATAAAACGATAGTCGAAGAAAGGCAGACAACACAATTGGTCAAAAGAAAAAAGATGAACAGAAAAAAAACATTCCACAAAACATTATACAGAAACTAAACATTAAGCAAAACGATCCCAGTTAAAAACTCGGGATGAACTCAGACGCTCTTGAAATAATGATTGAACATTGCCTTTGAACTTCTAAAATGTATGTAACTGACAAAATACTTTTATAGTAATTTATTGTGGATTGTGACATGTGCACGGTAACATTATCTTTTCTCTATGCTTTGAAAACAAATAACAGAATTCAGTATGATGGTTTCATTTACACAAGAAATGCATGCGATTCCTATACAAATTTCTCTATAGAAATAAATCATGTACTTACTTTGATCCTTTAAATAAATAAATATAATTGTCGGTCCATTGAATCCCAGCATCAGGTGAATTGGGTACACCTATCCAATAAGATGAAATTGGCAACTTATATCTTGGCAACACATCATCCATATATTTATTGAATTCCCAGAAATATGTATCCTATAAGTATGCACATGTACGTCCATTATTCAATATACAAACATTAATAAATGCTAAACACTATAAAAGCCAGTTTACAATAGTCGGCTAACGTTAAAGTCAAATCTAATTTGGCCATTAAGAAAGATTAGAAAAAAGAAAATACCAATTCAAAGGGTGTCAGAAGTAGAAAAGGTCACGGTCAAACGAAAAATAATATACCGCCACGTGAATGCTAAGATGGTTATTTAGCTCTGTACTTTAAGGTGTCAGACACAAATCGTTACTGTATATGTACGATCAACTACAAAAAAACTTTTTGTTGAGGTCTTTGTCATATTTATTTCTATGTTTGTTTGAAAATTTTAGTCAGTTGTGTTGTATATCTGTGATGTATGTTTACACAGTTTTGACTGCTGGATCCCAATAATTGTCACATTAACCTATTATGTTTGTTTGGGTTGCTCACCCAATTGTGTACATATAACGGAACTAAATACAACTGTCATACACGTGGGATGATCAGCTAGCTATAAAACCAGGTCTAACCCACAATTTTGTTCGGAAAATGCCTGTACCAGGACAGTTGTTTTCCATTCGTTTCGATGATTGATATAGTCCAATGTTTGATTTTATCAGGTTTTACGGACTTTCCCTTTTTGAATTTACCTTGTGTTCGATATTGGTGTTAATATGTTTTTGGTTATTAAACTCAAACTAGTCTCAGTTCCCAGTTATATAACCAGCCCAGTAGCCAGTACTTGGTACTGGCATGAACATACGGATATTGTTTTATTGAAATATGCAGTAATATTGCTGCATCAAGCATTACTGAAAAGCAATTAATTGTCGAAATTCACATATGGTGCACTTAAATTGATGCCGTTAATATTATCATTTCTAGAAATAGATATACTTACACCAAAAAGGTAAATCTGTTCGTCTCTCCAGTGGTTTTTATATGTGAATGCAAAGTTAATACGTTGACGTGAAGGCATGTTTCTCATTTCTTTTGGGTATTGATCATCCAACTTGAAATTAGTATACCTCCATAGACGTCTTCCTATAAATATAACTTTTTAATTCACTCATGTAAGATTGATTTATTACATAAAATCGTAAAACAAAACCCACAACATAACGATCATTTCAATTTAAGAATGTCAACTTATTTCCTATCTCCATTAAAATTGAACTATATAATAATGATTGAATAAATGTTCTTGTGTTCTGCAATGATTTATAAGCTTGAAACAATTAAAACTATAACTATATATAGGTAATAACATTCCTATCCAATTGCTCTTTTTGCGTAGCTATATCATTTCAAAAACGCCTTGTGCGGAATTTAGAATTTAACTGAATGCAGTATGTGAATAACAAAAAAAGAACAATGAAAACGTATAACGAAAAACGATTAGCTACGATATAACATACGAACATATTTATCTCAATTTTACCTTTAATTATGTAGACATGATTCAGAGCATGAAAAGCAGCTGAAGGATTTTGTGGTGCTTTAGGAAATACATCATACGATTTCTTAGGATATCTTTGCGCCATTCCAGCATTGCCTAGTTTATAAACTTCCATGTTTCTAAAGGCATAAGTATTACCATCCAGACCTGAAAAGTGGAATATATTACAGCAAATTGTACATCTACTCATATCTTCTTTATTTTTTTCTAATGCAAGCAAACGAATAAAATTAGTATAAAATCCCTCTTTTACTATTGCATTTTTTTTTTATTCCTGTGCTTTAAGTAGCGCCCAATTGATATTCGTTTTTACCATAATCACAGTAAGGTGTTCTTGATCATGATGCATATAATATAACAAAAGTAGGGAAAAAACATTAAATTAAACAAACCTAACGTAATCGCATCAAACGTAAGATTACAATTTCCACCAGGTAAATTGGGTTTGGTAGTGGTGTCAGGGAAATTAGAGATTATTTGTGTTGTCCTTCTTGTGACTGATCGGTTTGTTGTCATACTTTGTGTTGTAGGTCTCCGCCGGGGCGTTTGCCTCACTGATGGAACTGTCATTGATGGCGTCGACGTTTCTGAGGGTGAACCTGAAAAAAATTAGATTATTTGGTAAATTTAAAAGAAAACACAAATTTCCTACAACAAGTATACAGTTCTCTAAAAGTAACAACATGCCCTTCATGCACTAGGCTATATTCTACATTATCATATCATTACAAGGGTTCATTGTATTATGGTTTTCATGACTGGTAAATGGAGAAAATGTAATTGTATACATAAAAACGTAATAAAGTATCACCGTATAACGACTGTATTCCTACAATATCGTCATAGTGAAGTTTCCATCCCTGACTCTGAAACCTATAGGCTGGGTACATCAAGGAATCTGGATTATTAGAATGCCCAAGACCTAAGGCATGACCGAATTCATGAGCAGCGACTACCTCCAGATCTATACCGTCATTGGCGTTACCCCTAAATACCCACATTTCATCCTCGTCGAAATGTGTACCACCATCCGTTGGATAGTATGCATGTGCTAAGACTCTCCCTGAAATAGTAAGTTGATAAAAGTTTAGTATTAGATTTAAATAAGATTGAATAAAATATTTCATAAATTCATTAAACAATAATGTTTGTTGTTTGTTGTTTGCTTTTTGTTATGGCTTTGTAAGTCTGCCGTCTTCGACTTACGAGCTAGAATATTCATTTTGTGTCTTCCGCCTCTCTTGGTCAAGTGGCATCTCTCAAAAAGTCACGTGAATTGCGAGGAAAATGTAATAAAAAATAGGAAATTCAGGGGGGAAGTGAAGTAGAGACATATTGTTGTCAACAATGGATATTGTTTTGGTCGAAATTCAATCCCTAAAACAAGTATCTGTAAACATTATGTTAATTCGAACTCTAATAAGAATTTCAAAGGAACATTAACTGAAATAGCAATTATAATTTGGTTTAGTGGTTTAGTGGTGCACCCGGGTAACAATAGGGCAACGAAAGAAAACCGCAGTGAGGGACAGACATTCATAAAAAACATAAATTCCCCTAAACTAAAATTGCTCAATATGTGTTCAGTCGTCTTTTTGAAACGTTGTTGATTAGTGTAAAGTATATTTGTCACTGTTAAAAAAACATTCCTTTTTGTGCAAAAGTTTTCTTTTTTTACTTTTACTTGTTTTCATGTATAATTTATCTTTTTGACAATTTATATCATAACGCTACATACCAGGACCATCAAAACTATTTCCAACACCGTCACCATGGTTACCTCTTGCAAAGTATATTTCTATATCTGGATCTCCGTTTGTATACTCAAATTGTAATGGCGTCACATCCGACCATTTCTTAAATGAATTCTCAAAGGCAAATCTTCATTAATGAATGAAAGAAAGGAAAATTAGGTGTAACCTATCCATAAAACTGTTTTTACACCGCATTAAAGTAAATTTATAGGCTTTCCAAATTGCCTTCTGCTTAATTACTTAGCAGCTGCCATTTCAATCATATTTAGATACCTCTTATATGATCGGTTATTGTATGGACCCCTTAATTGATATACATAGATACTTAACAGAACATCGCTTATTGTCAGAGTAAATATGGTAATCTCTGGTTGGCTTCTCCTGTTCAGACAGTAGGCATATGCTAGAATAGGGCTTCCGTTTGACTGATCGGGATGCATAAATCCGATGCGTCTTTTAATAAAAAGTGTCACGTACTTTGCACTTTAGATAACCTACATTAGCTATCTGAGGGTCCGTAGATAGCCTTTTGCAAGGCTACATTTCTACCCTTTTCCAACATTCATTCTTCATTTCAAATGGCAATCTGAGTTGCCTGCCTTCGTCCCGGTTACCCTACCTTGCAGAACTTTCCCGTTGTGTTTTTATTATTTGTTCTCGTCTTGAATATGCTTGAAATGATTGCCACTGGACGTTTAGTATGCAACAATCAGTTATTCAGGTTTGAGGTAATGGTGATAAATTATTAATATGATCACTAATGGTTAATCTAAAAACAGAAGAGTTACCGACATAAACATCACCGAAAACAAAACAAAAAGTCAAATCTTTCTATGTCCATTTTGGCAACAAAGCAAACTTTTAACTACATGCAATATCTTGCTTCTTAATTTTAAACTGTGACTCCAAACATGTCTGGGATATCACTTCAAACATGTCTGGGGATATTACTTCAAACATAACTATATCGTTAGTGAATATCACGTATGTAATGGATAAACCTTGCAATTTTTGGATCTGAGTTGATTGTCTGCCATGTTGACAAATTTATTGAAGAAGTATGACTTAGACTGGTTTCGACCCTTGTCTAGAGTTGAAGACTGCATGCTTGTTAATCGCTGTCACATTGATCATAGCTATTCTACATTTACCATGCATACGTCTTACACGCTAGTATTTAGAAAATGTCGGCGGCAAAATAAACTGACTTTTATATCACAGATGCGTTTTTCTATACTAAAGTTTCGTCAATTTTGTTAATTTTTACTTCAAAAACTTTACGTAAAATACTTACGCTAAAAAAAGAACCAGCTTATTTTTTATTTCCCTGGGAAACTTTTCTTGAATACCAGTTGAATCTGTATAGTTTCCCAAGGAAATAAAAAGTAAGATCATGGTATTATTTTACGCGTAGGTATTTTCAATATTTTGCACCAGATAGCTTGTTTTCCTAGTGATTTATTTCTTATATGGTTTCCCTGGGAAATAAATTGACGACAAATGTAGTCAGCTGCGATAAGCAGTGATGATAATATCAGATTATTACATGGCATTTTTCATATCAGATGTATTATTAGCCCAAGGTTCAATATCAGCCCAGGAGCCGAAGGCTCGAGGGCTGATATTGACCGAGGGCTGATAATTCATATGATATGAAAAATGACATGTTATGATCATTTTATCATATGCTTCGACAATGGAGAACAGTTTAATTTATTGATCCTTTTAAGTGGTTCTCAAGTAGAAGTTCAAAAAGTGAAAAGTTTACGGATGAAGGACGCCGAATGTAATACATCCGATATGAAATCTTTCTATCATATGCCTCAACAGAGGAGAAAAACAACAGTATAAAATATTTTTTATATTGACGATTAAAAATAATCAGCAAAACATAATGAACACTGTTTGGAAAAGTCAACATTTGTAAAGTAACTTGCTAACTCATACTGGAAACTTTGAAAAATCCATTCGGCTCTTGAGCTGATATTGAACCTAGTGCTGATAATACATCGGATATGAAAAATGCCATGTAATAATCTGATAATATCAAAGTGCATATTTTACCTTTGTGTTGAGGACGGAAGCTTTCTAGAATATCTCGTAGTTTTCCAAGAAATGATGTTTTTATTCCACTTATAACCTACAGTGGATCAACATAATAATAAATACAGGTCGTAGGTCAATGTCACAAAAATATAAACTTTTTTTGTGCCGAATACAAACAAGTTTATATTTTTCTGACATTGACCTAATATTGTTTTTATATTGCAGCTTAAATTAATACATTGATCGCTATTTAAATTGCAACACAAATTTCAAACTTATTTTCATCCCTTAATGAACCCCTGATTGTGGAAAAAGTGATCCATGATGAAATTGACATTCCACAAAATATAGCTTTGTTACTATATTTAGGAAATAACCACAACTAGTTGCATTATAAATACAGATCGTATGTGAAAAATTCTAACAAAAATATGTCTGAAAAAGACTCTCATGTAGTATTGACTATAGTACCATCAATTTGTTCCAGCTTGTATTTAAACAAATACATTGCTGGTGGGTCGCAGTGTCATTCATAGCCGGTAAACAAAACAAAAACAATGGTTTTTTTTCCCGGAAAGTAATGCTTTTATTACCATTAACACTTGCCCAAATATAGCTTTATATGACTGTACTAAAGTATGGAGTTTATTATTAATCAAACCACTGAGCCAACCCGCTATACATTTTTAATTATTTATGTTAATGTGTGGCAATGACAATATTACATTAGGACAATAAGTGCTGGATATATTTGCCTTGGGCTGTAAATGGTGCAGGTCCATTTGGTCCTTTGCCCATATCTGGAACTCCACAACGAGGTCGTTTCATTTGGACAATAGTATTCTTATCCATAATTCCAGAAACTGCCAAACCGTAATATTCTTGAAATAACCTACAATGTCGTAAAGGATTCAAATACAACAAGTAAAAGATACGAAGACAAATCGATGTTCCCTTTGAAAACAAATGTAGCGATGTAGAATACTTTTTAATTTTGGTTTCTTTTTGACTGCGATGTACTATGTTCTTTTCAAATATTATATTTATCGTTATGTCGGAGCATACATGAAAAACATCTTAAAGATGTGAGATAAACATAATTTGCAATTTGTTTGTTTTGAAAACATATCTTATTTGTGTCGATAACATATAATTATATTAAATATAAGCAATGTAAACAGTTTTCTCATCATATGTTAAACTGGATAAATCATGAAAACAAACATGCGTATGAGATTTTGTTCATTGCTAAAGACCGTACGTTGACCTATAATTGCTTACATCCACGTCTAAAGCTTTTTTTTTTTTACATCTAAACCATTACTGGTTTATTCTCGAGTAGCGGACTTACAAAAAATGCATGCAACAAAGCAACATACAAGCACTTAATTCTAAAACTAATGTATATATTTTTTCAAGTTTTATTACTGTAAATGTAATTGTAATGAGGCAACGGATATAGTTACTTCTAGATTTATCGAACGCTCATTCCATTTAATATGGAAAGTCCAATTAGATAAGATGTCTTTTACATGAAACTCATTTTTGTTTTCTTACTCATAAAAACTAAGCAGAGGATACCGAGGGAACATCCAAAACTCATAAATAGAAGAGAAACTTACAACGCCATTACAAAATCCGAAAGTCGATGAAACGACAAAGAAGTCAACAAAACACTAGAGCGAAAACTAAAGACTGAGCAACACTCACCCAAATTTAAACAGACAGGGTAAACAGATCCTGCTCCACCACTGGCACCAGTCATGTTGCTCATGTTAAGTACACATTTGGTAATAAGTCAAAATCGAGGAGAGGTAGGCGGGATTGTGTTTACTACAATTGGAACATTTCCCTGCACTACATAGAAATGGACTGTTCACAATTGGGTTCTGAAACAATCCCTTTTGTCGTATGGTGGTGATCTCATTATCAACTTCTAGATGATCCAAGTCATGAGAGGAGAGAGAGTTAAACTGTATATGTGGTATCTTTTATTTCAATTTCGTTAGGATAGATGTTTTTAACATATATAGTCACCAAGCTTTGAATTATTTAGTGGAATTATTCATCAAGTGTCAACAAAATTATCATATATTCCTCTCGTTTCTCGTTTTTTGTATAGATTAAACCGTTGGTTTTCCTGTTTGAATTGTTTAACACTAGTCATTTGAGGGCCCTTTATAGCTTGCTGTTCGGTGTGAGCCAAGGCTCCGTGTTGAAGGCCGTACTTTGACCTAAAATATAAAATGGCTTACTTTCTATACAATTTGACTTGGATGGAGAGTTGTCTCATTGGCACTCATACTACATCTTCTTATCTATATTTATCAACTCGAATAACATTCATAATTTCAATAAAACAAAATATGATGCTTTATAAGTATGCAATTAACAAAATCTAAATTGCTGCCTGATAAGTAAAGGAACTAGGTGATTTAGAGTTGACTTACGTGAGTTTCTATTTACTGCTGACGACCGTAGGATGATGATTACAAAGTTCGTTATGGTTGATTCCTGTTAACCCTGATTTGCAAATGCCATTGTCTCGTTACCATTTACCTCCTATTCTGTTTGAGTAACGGCTTGCCCCTTGTTACCGTTCGCCTCTTATTCCGTGGATTATAATATACTATATAACTTGATATTCTGTTGTTTATATAGATTGAGAATACGATAGCAACAAACCTACACATTCTACACATCAAAAGCTGAAAATCTAAAGGACCATACTACGCAGAGATTACTAGCAACGGGCTAATATATTTACTTGTCATCCTGGCCGAAACTACGGACAAGTGAAAACAAAGAACAACAAACAAGTATTATAACTTTAAAGCTTAACTTATTATGCTAATATAAACTAAGTAATACATGAAAATAAAAGAAAACCGCATGTACCTTACAGCTCTCTCTCTACTTTCAGCAATGTGAGAAATGTTTCCTTCTGATGTTGGCATTTCCATATATCCAAACTTCTCTAGAAAGTTCTTAAATTCAAAAAGAATAAACCAATTTTTAAACACTGTTCATGTAATTATGAAAATAAAAAATACACTTTATAAATTGCATGCGTTCGATATGTTTTTCTGGATTTACCTTCATCCAGAACGCTCAAACCCAAAATTATTAATTCAGTGATGTCAAATACTTGATGCTTAATATGACCAAAGATCATACAGGCATAGGTCAACTTTGACTCAGGGAGTTGGAAACATATTATCATAAGAAGTTTTAATTTGTCAAGTTAGAATTTCAGAAAAGATATTAGTATTTGTAAGTAAAATCGGGAGAACAGAGTCTACTGTTTTCATGTAGATGTAGTATTACTATCTATATTTTTCGGCCTTATCGTAATACTAAAACAACGAGATGTTTTTGGTTGCTTTGAAGTTCGGGTTTTGATTATCGTAAGAAACATGTCAATAAAACATTCTGTTCCTGTCCCAAGTGATTGATTGATTGATTGATTAATTATTGATTCATTGATTCATTGATCGATTTGTTATTGATTGATTGATTGATTGATTGATTGATTGATTGATTGGTGTTTAAACACGCCACTTTCAACACTATTGGTTATTTATTGGTGGTCAATTTTATTATTACATGGTGGATGAAGCCGGAGTGCCCGGAGAGAACCAATGACCTTCATCAGTTAAACTGACAATCCTAGTCGAGCGATCCTGCAAACCCTCAGTGTTTACAGGCTAGTGATACAGTAGTTGGACTACTTAGACCGAGCCCAACTTCGGTTGTTGCTTTGTACATACATCAGGCCGTTGATTTACTTATTAGAATTGTTTTACATTGTCGGTGCATTTTATAGCTTGCTATGCGGTATGCAGTATGGGTTTTGCTAATTGTTGAAATCCGTACGTGACCTCAAATAGATAACATTTACGTCATTGTGTCTCTGGTGGATGAATTTGTATTGTTGGTATTCAAACCACATCTCCTTATTTTACTAAGATTGATGTCCGTGTGGCTGTTTGGGATATATAACTACACAGTCACGCTCAGTCTAAATGAGAATGTCAAAGCCGAAGTCTTGTGTAGGTAGAGCCCCATACTCTTTATTTGTTATAGAACATTTGCAACAACTCTTTTATAGATCCGTAGATGGTCGGTTTCTGTCCTTATTCAACATACCTTCTGTTTCTAGTGGCAGTGTACAATTTCAGACTTTCATTCTGGCCGCCCTACGTTACAGATCTTCTTGTGGTACTGTTTGTTATTTTTATTTCACCCTGAATACGCGTGAAATAGTTGCCGCTGGACTTTAAACATACAACAATCAATCTATATACTGCAGTAATTCATGAGAGTGTAATTTGATGTTCAGTCTTTCTATATATATGTTTTTGAAGAATATAAACACTTACATCAGCACTGAAGTGGAAATTTCCGAGGGATGTGTCGATGTCATTTGTACCATTTTCATTACCATTCACTTGACTAGTTTTCGATGGTATAAATCCACTCATTAAACAGATACACAATATTGAAATGTGAGTTTGCATCGCTACTTCTTTTTAAAATTTATTTTTTTTTATCATTAAAACATTGCTTATTTATACAAAACAAGCTTCCGGATGAACTTTTATGAAATCATCTGTTTTTAGTGTATGGTCATCATAGATAGGCTTTTGTTCACGTACAACAAACAGTCAAGACTTTTTAAAAAAGAATGTTATTTCCTATCAAATCATAATGACATTGTTATAATGTGTCGATTTATGTAATCAAGCTACGTGAAGAAATGTATGTCCCGTCCCGATTCTCTAAGCACTTATTGAAGTACGCGTGGATACATTTAGCCATAAACATGATAATCAGACCCTACCAAGTGGGAATCAGATCCATGATTGAATCCTGTTCCAAGCGATTTTTACTACTGCGCTTATAGTCAAGTAATACCGCGCTGAACATGCTGAAGTACGTCCATTATTCGTTTTTTGGTTCATGTAATAGCATGAGAAAAAAAAACATATATGGCGACGTTTTCAATAATACAGTTTACATGTTAGCTAGAGAATATATAGTTACTAGTATATAAGGATAATTTACAGACATAAAATACAACAATATAGAACTATTCAAAAGTACAAACATTCAGTTTAAATGGTATAACTCCAAATAGTTTTTTTTACAAAAAACGAAACAAAATAAGATACCAGACTGAAATGTCCTATACGTATTTTTGTAGGGAAATCGTGGTCAGGGACAAATTAAGAAGGTATGGACAGTTTAAACGAGGACGACACGATTACTATCTAAAACGTCTTCGCCTGTTAAGCCCTACTTAATTTTAAATGACCTTAAATGACCATGGACCATGGAAAAGACTTTCTCATTTATAAAACAAAACATTTTTCCTGTTGTGACAAGTTAAGTTAACATGATCTCGGATAAAATAAAAAATTGTCCTTCCTGTCATAACTAATTGACAAATAAATTGCGTCTTATTTATAACCCCAAATAAGTGCTTTTATTTTTACATCCCAATTCTTTTCCTTTCTTATCAGTAAAACAAGTCACGTCTTTGGGACTGCTGAAATGTTAGTTAACAAAATAATATGTACAAAGAATACTCCATTACTCCCTTGAACTCTCTTATTCGGTGGTAGTGCAGGATTGCTCTGATATCTGTCTTGCTAGCGACGAGCACAGTCTTAAATAAGACCATCACCTCGGGATAGTTCAGTGGGTACATATAAGAAAACAGGTAGTGAGTGATCTACACGTTTCTTGTGCTCCCGACTAGATATATAATCAAGAATATAATTATCCTGACGTTAAGTAATGGTCAAGTAATTTTTTCGCAAAATGACAATTTCTGATTTTTGTAATAGATTCAATGGTTTCTATAACAGAAAATACTTTATGCATTCAAATATGCTCTCAGAAATTCCAGATGCAGTTGCTGCAGGTGAAAGAACCTTAACCGCAACTCGTAAATGTAAATGTCCGTCATTTCAGCGCGTCATTTCAGCTAGTCAGAGATTGTTTATGTATGGCCCGTCATTTCAGCCAGTCATAGATTATGTATGTATAGCCTGTCATTTCAGTCAGTCAGAGATTGTTTATGTATAGCCCGTCATTTCAGCCACATATATCGTTTATGTATAGCCCGTCTTATCAGCCAGTCATATATTGTTTATGTATAGCCCGCCATTTCAGTCAGTCATAAATTGTTCAAGTATAATCGCTGTCGTTTCATCTATTTCGGCACATACATGTAACATTCATTTGTAATCCGTCGTTTCACCGAGTCGCATATCATGTTAAGCCCGACGTTTAAGTTAGAAGCGCACCGGACATTTTTCATTTCAGTATAGTCACAGATTGTCAATGCATAGCTCGCCGTTTCAGCCAAGTTGCAGATTGTACATACACAGCTCGCCTTTACAGCCAAGTCGAAGATTGCATATGCATTTCCCGCTGATTTGGCAAAATTACACACCTTACATGCATAGACTGTCGTGTTAGCTATGTCACTCATTGTACATGTATATCCAGCCATTTAATTTCAATCAGTTGTACATTTACCACCGTACATGCACAGCCCACCGTATAGCCATGTAGGTCGTTCCAACCAAGTCTCAGATCATTTCCATTCGCCCTTTTATATACTAGTATAGCCATGGTCTTAATCTGCTATCAGTCAAGTATGTACATTTTGTATCTTCATGATGCGGGGTACACGTCAATGAGACAGAAACCTTACAATACAAAACCAACAGCCATCAAGAAGGCAAAAGCTTTTCATTGAACCGAGTCTAAAAAAGAGTTGAAATTAATTGATAGATTGAATGATTGAACGGTGTTTAACGCCACTTTCAGCACTATCGTGCTATTTCGTGGCGGTCAGTTTTTATTCGTGGAGGAAGCCGGGGTGTCCGGAGAAAAACACCGATCTTCGGTAGGAAAACTGACAATCTTAGTCAATTAAGATTGGAGTCGAGCCCACTTCCTGAATACGTTACAACTCAAACTTCATACATATAAAATAAAAATTTCTGAATGAACAGGAGACTGTGCAAATAACAACGTTAACGAAACATTAAGAAATGTAGGAAACAACTGGAAAAATACTCTATGCCTAATAAAATCAACGCAATGATTCATAACAAAACAACACTCCATAGTTATGATCTTACTGTTATTGTTGTCTTACATTCCACGAGTATGATAATCTTTTAATAAAAGTGTTGTATGTGTAAGGTCTCACTAGTTTATGTTCAGTTTATATACTAGTATTATCAAAAAGTACTATGTGTTAAGTTGTTTTTCAGCAAGTTAAAGGTTGATCACGTATACATACTGGGGTTGTATATACAGCCATCTTTCCGCTCTTATTTGTGTGTATTTATTGTATTATATTTTATTGCATATTGTAATCACATGATTTGTAATACCATGACAACTAAAATGCATTCAAGACGATGTTTTTTTTTTTGGTCAAACATATGAATTAATACGTTTACTGGATATGTTGAATTAAGTCTTTATTTCAGACTAAAGTCCATCAATGGAAATGGTTCTTTCCTTTTGTTTTGGTTTTCTGGTCTGCTGTGCTCAATATTTTACGCTTTCATATTTTGAATCTTATTTGTTTTCGTCTTCAGCGTGTTTGATGAAAATCATTCCATAAACACGTGAAGCGCGTTCAGAAATTACTATAACAACTAGTGATATTTTTCAATAAGGCAATAACGAGCAGGTCTCTATACATATTCCATAGTTGATACAACCTCGGAGTTAGGTAAGATAGTAACTGTATAAGTGGGTGTTCTTTATTTTTGGCCCAGACTGCTAAATACGAATCTATCTTTGTAGAGGAGATAGATGCACCAGATAAGTTTTATGAGAATTTTTCAGGTCAGAAAACAACAATGATGTAAACATACATGATTACACCTTTATAAATATATATGTATATACGTTTCGCGGATATATTTGTTATGCTATGCTTTTTGAACTTTTTTCGTATTTCCTGTCTATTTGTATTACGATTTTAACATTGGTACGGATATTCATTGTGTTCTAGCAATGTGCAATTTAATATGCATGTCCTATACTTTAATTCTCAATAGTTTGGGGTGAAATCATAGATTTTTTTTTATAAGGTCAAATTCAATTATTTATTTTCATTCTGTGTTTAATTTGGGTGCAACAGTACGTGAAGGTAAATTCCTGGGTGGAGGGACAGAGGAGGGGATTATAAGTGGCACGATCATATCTATTTATGCCCCAGGTAAATCCGCAAATGATAAAAAAACTTCCCCAACGTTTAGCCCAAAACTATTAATTTTCAATAATATTAGGATTGAAATAGTTTGCTTCAAAATCTTTCAAGCTACTCTCATTTAATGAAGGTTATTTCTCAATCACGGGGAGTGGGAGTAGATCTAAACATGGGATTTTGAGTACAGTAATGCAGCTGGGAAAACACCTTAATTCATAAATTAAAACCTTGAGAAAAAATCACGACGAATTTCCGATGGCAAAATCATGACCCATTCATAGTTTTCTCAGTAATCACATATTATACAATATAAATGATAAGATGTGGTATGATTGCCAATGAGACAACTCTCCATCCAAGTACAAGTTTTGATATCTTAATTTGAATAAAAAAGATAAAACAGCATTTAAACAAACACCTATTATAGTTCGGAGGATGAAAATTACTGACCCATTGATATTTGACCTCAGTGAAATTCAGTGTATGGCATTAATATAATTTAAATATAAAAAGGAGACCCATTTCAGCGGCACTTCTGTGTATACCTTCATTTTGTCATAGAACCCCAAATCTAGATTGAGACCCATGTGCGTGTCCTCAATATCCCAGTTCTGAAATATAGTCCCATTTATATTATTTATCTCAGGTGTACCACCCCTTTTTTCTTTCTAGGGTAATATTTTACCGTAAAAACTTTTAGCATTCTAAACGAAGTGTGAAAACTTAACACTTAGGCAGTAAGCATCGGTATGTACGCCCCCCCCCCCCCCCCCTGAAATAAACGTTCATTTGATTTGTTCCAACTAAAACAATGAAATTCAGATGCATGCAAACTTTGAAAATATATTTGCTGCAACTCATTTAAAGCCTTCTTCTCTAATGAGAAAGGTAAATATGCTAGATATACTTACTGGAGGTGTGATGAGATGATTGAAGCTGTTAATTTTCTCCTTGACAATATTTATGTACGTTTCGGCATCAAAGTTTATCGACAAGTTGTAGGTATTCCTATGGGCACTAATTGCGCCCCTTTAATAGCAGACTTGTTTTGTACTGTTATGAATCACAGTTTATGACCTAACTCAGTAAAGACCCGTCTAAATTGCATTTAATTGATAAATTCAACAACACTTACCGTTATCTTGATGATATTTTTTCGTTAAATAATCAAGAATTTTCTCAATATTTACCCAAAGGAACTTACTTTGAATAAATAAAATTTAAACGGTAACAACTGTCCTTTCCTAGATTTAGATATTTCGGTTTTATCCACGGGAAACTCCACACTAAAATTTACGACAAAAGGGACGATTTTTCGTTCCCTA